TTCGTTTGGGATGACTTTCTTACTGCTTCTTAAAGAAGCTTTTTAGTATAAAAATTATATTTTTTGTATTAAAAAGTAGTTTTAAAAAGTGACGACAAAGACGTCTCAAATGAAATCTTAATTTTTTTTGAAAGCAATGAAAATCCAATGTTTAAATATAATAAATTAAGTTATGTAAATATACATCATGCTGACTTTATGCATGATAATTTGATAAAAATATAATTAAGTTAATAATATTATAGTATTGATTAATATTATATAATAATATAATTAGTATGCTATTATACTAATTATATGAGTGGGTAGGACTGAACGACTGGTTCTGTCCGCGACTTTTTTCCGGGACGAATAGAAAATTTTTGAGCTTCAGAAGATCAGTTAATATATAAAAAATCCATTTTTGCTCACATAAATAGCTGCCCTTGCCGCCATAGCTTCTTCATTTATTGGCCAGAAGGAAGAGAAGGCCGCGGGGAAGGAGCGAAGGGGATAAGGGTAAGAAGCGGCCGAGGACGATGAGTGAGCCTTTACTCGCCAGAGGTGGCGGCGGCGCAGATGGAGATGAGTGGAGGCATGGGAAGAGAGATGACAGAGATGACATGGAGGAGATAAAGAGCGTGGGGCAGTTTATGAGGGAGGCGGCGGCGGAGAACCGGCGGATGTGGGCCCTGGCGGTGCCGGCCATCTTCACTTCCGTAGCTCAGTATTCTCTCGGCGCATTAACGCAGGTGTTCGCCGGGCACCTTACAACGCTGGATCTTGATGCTGTCTCCGTCGAGAATATGGTCATCGCTGGGCTCGCTTTCGGCGTCATGGTACTGGAGTATTCTGTTTCTCTGATCTTACCCTTCTTGTTTGCATCTGGAGATTTTCTTAAAGTTTTTTTGTCCTTTATTGCCTTATTGGGAGGGTTTTTTGTCAGCAAATTGGATTTAATATATCCTGAAAATTCAGATTCAATTAAAAATGGGACTGAGATTGGATTTAAGTATTTAACAAAAAGTTTGTCCTAAAAAACTTTTTGACAAGATTGAAGACAAATCAATCCATTATATTTTGTCCTGTTCTTAAGCATTAGTTAAATTAGTTACAGAAAATTTTACAAATCTGGCTTTGGCAAGTTTGTTTCGAGGTAATCTTTGAAAATAGTTTGGTATTTTGATGTAAGTTGGAGGATTGATGGATTTTAGGCGTTTGAAAGTCAGGGTGACAAACCAAAGAGTACTGTTGAAATACAGAAATAGGAAAGAACAGAAAAACAGAGTAAGGAAGAAGTATTATGGCAGAACCTTTTGTATGGGAAATTGTATTCAATTACAATACAGTTTCAATACATAGTTATATATAAGCTTAGCAAAGCATCTGCTTTTCCTAGCACCAACGGTAGATGAAGATGTAGTTAATAATGTAAGGTTCAGATTTGCTGGCAGAGAAAGTGACTGCAGTTGCTGCTGTAGTTTCTGAGTAAAGCAGGTAAATTATTCTAAGTACTGGCTGTGTGTAAAGGGTGCTGGAGCTGCTTCTTTGTCAAAGAGCGAAGAGAATCTTATGCAGATCTACGGGAAACTTAAATGGATGGTTTCATCTCAACCAAAGATCCCGATGATTAATTTCAACATTACAGAATTGACTAAATAGCGAGAGTACATAAAAAATATATATCATTTAGACTTGGATGAGTTTAGCTTGTTGTCAAGTGCTTTGAGTGAGTTCCAAATTGAAGGCTATTATTACTCTTGGTGAATTCTTCTAGCATGAAAGCCTAGCTACTTGGCTACCATGGTTGAATAGTCGAGTTACTTTGGTAAACAGTTTTGTCAAATATATGGCTTGATGGGTATCTCGGGTGAGTTCAGTAGCTGAGTAAGAGGTGATTCTGTAGTGACTTTTGTTTTTTTAAGTACGGGGTGACTCCATGCTTTGTGTGACTTTAAGCTTGGTGAGTTTCATAAATTGCAGGTGGTTCAAGCAGGTTCATAGCCTAGAATTTGTTGAACCCAACTTAGACTTCGTTTAGGACGGCTTTCTTACTGCTTCTTAAACAACTTTTTAGTTTGTGTACTAGAAAGCTGCTTTAAGAAGCACTAAAAAGGCTGTCCTAAGCGAAGCCTTAGACGCTCATAATGAATTGATTAATTTATTCTAGAAGAGTATGGATATACATGAGTTAACGTTCCCATAATGACTTGATGTAATTGACAAAAGAGTCAAGGTGATCTGGCGACACAACCGCATGGACATGCGAGCTGGCGATGTGAGATGAGGTGGTGCAGCGATGCACAACTCATCTTGATCTGTTGATTGGAGCTTTGGCTGCCAACTAAAAAGTATTGAGTTCAAAGTATGATGTGTGTGTGAGTTTACTTTAATTGGCTTAAATATCCCCCAACAAAAAAAAAAAAGAAGTGGTGAGGCCATTGTTGAAGGTGACTAGGTAAGCGTACGTAGTATGCAGAAAAGAAATCTTTGAAAAAATGATATATTAAGCTTACTTTTGTTTAGTGTGAATTAGGGGCTTAATTAGGTTAACTGGGCATGCATGAATGGGCTGTGTTGGGATTTCTTGGGAGGAAGATAAAGATCCTTGAGCTTCTTGGAAGAGAGACAGGGAGTAGAGGGAAGAATGGGAGAGACCAAACTGAACAAATTTCTTTATTGATTGGCTTTCTCCCTATTACAGCCTATTGCTCTTATTTATATAGAACAATGGCTACACTAAGCAGCACACCAATGACAATATAAAGTATATAAAAAACTAAAGAAAGTACAATGAAACAGCTAATAAAAAATCTGGGCCAATATCTAACAGGTTGTTTTGAATCTTAAACCTTTGATTTCAATAGGAATTATTAAATCCCTCAAATTCAGTAGGATTCGGTAAATCCTACCTAAGTTTTAAATTTGGAAGTCAGTTTTAAAGGCCCAAATAAATGTTTTGGTAGGATTTAGCCTTCCCATAAATCGTACCTACTCCTTAATTATTTGGATGTAGAAAGACAAAATACTATTTCTTAACTATTTACGATAAAGAGTCAAACTTAGAGACACACACAGAGATGGAGAGAGAGAGAGAGTATCCTTAATTTGCTTAAATTAACACCTTAATCCCTAATTAATTAATTTAAAATTCTAAAGGCCACAGTTTTTTAGACATTTAACAACTGATTTATTTGGCACCCACTAAATGTCATACTTATTTTATCTTTTATTAAAATAGAAATAAAAAGATGTGTGGTAATCAGGCAGAAAACAAAATTAATCTATATTTAGAACTTCATTAATTCCATCAAATTGCTAATTATCTTTCAAACAATATTTAAACTTAATTAATTTAAATTATTATTAAAATAACTAATTAAATATTAAATTGTTAAGAGAGTTAATACTTATTAAAATAACTAATTAAATATTAAATTGTTAAGTGAGTTAATACTTAATTATTTAATTAGTAAAAATATATTTCAATTAGTACTTTAGCTATACCAGTCTTAATGAACCATAATTACAGACTAGTAAAATCTTAATAATCTTAATTGAACCTGTACTGGAATTCTAATTAATTAAAAAAATAGTTATTATAGATTAATATCTTCTTATTTTTTTATTAATTAATCATATCATGTCAAATTATTAAAATTAAATGCTATTAATGAACCATAATTACAAACTAGTAAAATCTTTATTAACTTGATTGAACCTGTACTTAAATTCTAATTAATCAAAATAAATAGTTATTACAGATTAATATGTTCTTTTTTTTATTTATTAATCATATCATGTTAAATTATTATAATTAAATTCTATTAAAATTTAATAATCTTAAGCAAAAGAATAGTTAATCTCTAATCAGTCTAATAATTTATTAGTTATTGTTCATTCGCATCAGTTGAGAGATATATAATTTAGAATTCTAGTTTTGTATGAAAATTTAACACACAAATAAAAGAGAGAGATGCAACATTCATAAGAGACACCATAAGTTTTACATGAAAACCCATGAAAAGGGAAAAAAATTATGCGGCCTTGCCCAATTTGAATGAATCTACTCATGTTTGGTCGGGGGAAGGCGTTGGCTCAATATAACAAATATGCATCATATAAAGCACTTTATATGGTTGGGGCTGGAAGAACCCAATGTCATGAGAGATGTTCTCAAGAGAGTGTTAACATGTTCATTGGTTGGTAGGACTGTATTTGGGAGATAGAGATTGGAGGGGCCATAGTCGGCAAGTAACGGAGGTCAGAAGGATCGTAGTTGACGACATTGGTCAGAGAGACCGTAGTCATTGGGTGACGGTGTCCGAAATGAGTGTAGTTGACGGGCGATGGTGGTTGGTATGATAGTAGTCGGTAAGTAACAGAGGTCAAATGGACCGTAGTTGGACGACGTTGGTCGAAGGGACTGTAGTCAACGTGCGACGGTGGTCAGAGGGACTATAGTTGAAGGGAAAATGGAGGTCAAAAGGACCGTAGTTGGGTGACATCGGTTGGAAGGACTATTTGGTAAGCGACGGAGATCGGGAGCATTTATTAAACATTTAAGTGCCTTAATAATATCAAAATTGAGTGATCTTGGGCTCGTTGGATTCGTCTCGTCTAGACACTCGATTCGGCTATAAGTATGTCATATTTGAATATCATTTAGTCATCCAATTGATACTTTGAAGTTTTTAAATATATTTTGGTCATTTGATTTGGGCTCGTATTGGACCAAATTTGGAGTCGTTGAATTCATCTTCTTGAGATGTTCAATTTGACTATAAGTTTACTGAAATTGGAGTTTAGATGTTCCAAAATTTAATTTCATAAGTTTCTAACTTAATATGTCTCAAGATTTGTGCTCGATCAAGACAATTTTTGGTGACATATCAATTATCAATTGTTCTATTTTTTTAATAATAAGTTAATAATTAAAAATCTCATTGTCAATGTCCATATTTAAAATATGCATTATTTTAATAAAAAAACCTAATTAACCACTAACCTCACCATCATTCGTTTCGAAATATTTACATATGCATGAACTGATGATATCTTCATAATTTTGTTGAAAATGTTGTGGCCTCCACCACCATAATTTCTTCTATTTGAACATAATTTGCATCTGTGAATTATTGAACTGCCAATTGTACTTTTGATGTTATAATTGAAGAACATTCCTATCTACTTGATTTCAAATGAATGAAGGGATTGACCATCTTCTTCTTCTTTGGTCTGTAATTACTAGCTGGGCATGGGAAGTGCTCTTGAGACACTCTGTGGCCAAGCATTTGGTGCGAAACAGTTCGACATGCTAGGTGTTTACATGCAGCGTTCTTGGGTCATTCTTCTCACAACTTGCCTCATCCTTCTTCCCATTTATATCTTTGCAACCCCTATCCTCCGCTTCTTTGGAGAGGATGAAGCCATTGCAGTTCTTGCAGGAAGGTTCTCTCTTTATATGATTCCCCAACTATTCTCATATGGCCTGAACTTCCCGATGCAGAAATTCCTACAGGCACAGAGCAAGGTCATGGTAATGGCCTACATCGCTGCTGCTGCTCTAGTGCTCCACATATTGCTCAGCTGGCTTCTTATAGTTCAGCTTGGGCTTGGCCTTGTTGGTGCCGCGGCCTCACTCAACATATCATGGTGGTTTGTGGTGCTTGCTCAGTTTGCATATATTGCCATGGGGAGTTGTCCTGGTGCCTGGAATGGCTTCAGCCGTCGAGCTTTCCAGGACTTGGGAGAATTTACAAGGCTCTCCATTGCTTCTGCTGTCATGTTGTGGTATGGTGCATTACTCTTTCTGTGCAGCTTCAGTGGTCATCTCATTTTCTTTTTTATAATATAAGCTTTTGATCCAGCCTTGAGTTTTGGTACCTTATGTTTCTCGTCATACTGGTTGGCCAGCTGAAGAATGCAGAAATAACGGTGGCCGCAGTGTCAATCTGGTCAGTTTCTGCTCTGATCAAAAGATCATTCTAGTGAAAGTTTTGTGATGATTTAAGAGTCTGAATTCTCTTTTTGTTTCTGCTCTGATCAAAAGATCATTCTAGTGAAAGTTTTGTGATGATTTAAGAGTCTGAATTCTCTTTATGGCAGTTTGAATTTGCATGGGTGGGAAATAATGGTCTTCATTGGCTTCAATGCTGCCATAAGGTCATAATATTTTTCTCCATTGTTTCAAATTTCAACCGTTTCTTCCATTCTTTTAGCTGACCCATCTGTAATACATCTTTGTCCAGTGTGAGAGTATCCAATGAGCTCGGAGCTGGAAGGCCAAGAGCTGCCAAGTTCTCTATACTGATAATTACTTTGATCTCTGGATTTATCGGTCTCCTCTTCTTTACTGCGGTGATGGCTTTGAGAAACGTTTATGCCGTTCCCTTCACAAACAACCCTGAGGTTGTTCGAGCCGTAGCGCAACTCATAATTGTATTTGCCTTCACACTTCTCCTTGACAGCGTCCAACCAGTTTTATCAGGTTTAGTCTGCACACAATCACTTACATTTGAGCTGTTACTACTGGAAAATTTTGCAGAAAATGATGATTATTTTTCTTTCAAATCGTGTACTGCAGGCGTTGCAGTAGGGGCAGGGTGGCAGGCATTAGTTGCTTACATTAACTTGGGGTGTTATTATGTAGTTGGAATTCCACTTGGATATCTATTTGCGTTTCCACTTGATTTGGGTGTGGAGGTATTTGTTGTCCTTTTTCTTTTCTTTGTTGTGTTAAACCTCTCTTATTGATGATAAAATGAATGCAACATAAATTATCTATTGCCCTTAAATCTAAGAAGGGAGAAGTATCAAAATGGTCTCTTGATTTTTTTTTATATGAAGGATCACAATAATCTCCAACTGTATAACGATCATTTTGGTTCCTAAGTCTTTAAAAATGAATTGAAGTAGTCTCATGGTGAGATTATTTTGGTTCATCTTTAAGAAGTTGAAGGATCAAAATGATTCTTTAATATAATTGAAGACTATTTTCATCTTTCATAAAGAATCAAAAGACCACTTTGATCATTTTCTCAGGGTTCATTTGAGACAGCTTTCTTACTGCTTCTTAGACAGCTTTTTACTATAAATTTTTTTATTTTTGTATTAAAAGTTACTTTAAAAAGCAGTAAGAAAACTGTCCCAAATGAAGCATCAATCTCAAAGTAATCCAACAGCTTTTAAGGTATCAAATTTTGATATGATGATTCTCTGTCACATTGTTTCCATGAATATTCATTTGATACCTAACTTATGACTTGAACCGTTTGATGAAATGATATGTACATGTTAAGTAATCATTCATCTAATGGCATAGAGACTTTTATCGGCATCATGACATTCATTACTCTAATGCTACTTATGAGATATGATGATGTTATGTTACATGAAGGGAATGTGGGGTGGTTCACTGGTTGGAATAGGATTGCAGACTATTATACTCGTTGTGATCACTTTAAGAACAGATTGGGACAAAGAGGTGAGAACTCTTTATTTTCGTCTCTCCCATCACCTTTGTTTCTCAAGATCTACGGACCATATACTTATAAATGTAAGGATTTTGGGCTTGAAACGTACAGGCAATTGAAGCAGAATCTCGCATAAATAAATGGGGAGGATCTGCCGATAATACAACTATTAGCTCAAAGGTATTAGAAAATTTCTGGCAACTTATCAATATTTTAATGTAGCATTCTCTCCTAAATCTACATTTTTTGTATTGTAAATACTAAGCTGGGTTCTGATTCTTCGCATGCTTGCTGTGACAGGAATATGGTTCTCCCAGCGAACTGGTAGCTTAACTAAAGTGAAAACCGATATTCTTTTCCCTTTTGATTAGTAGTTTTTAATTTTGTTTAGATCTTCTGATTAAATAATCTTCTCTTCATGAATGTGAATTTATATCAGTAGGGCTGCAAACGAATCAAGCTGAACCGAGTAGGTGCTTCTTCATGTTTGAGCCCGTTTATTATTAGCTTGTTTAAACTCGGTTCAAGCTTGATTCGAGCTTTTCAGTTTATGTTCAAGATTTTTTCGTTTAAAATGATAGATTTTTATGTTTGGCTTGTATTTGATTCATATTCAATTCATTTTGTGCTTATCGAGTTTTAAACAAACCAGTCTTATCAAGTCTTATTGAGCCTACTAACGAATAGTTATCTTGAGCATATTCATGAACCTATCTAGTGAGTATTTTCGATCTACCAAATGTGCTTGTTCACGAACATATCTAGCTAGTATTTTTCAATTACCAAATGAGCATGTTCACAGACAAACGAGCTCAAAAAATGATTTCTTATTAACCAGTTTGTTCATGAATACTTTAAACAAACAATTTAGCAAACATGAGCAAATACCTCTTATTCATGAACAAGTTTTTTCTATCGAAATACAATAGAGAAAAATATGAGCTGAGCTTCGAATTGCTCGTCGAATGCTCGGGTCATTTACAGCCCTACAAGTCAGAAATGATAATATAATTTACTCTGATTAGAGCATTCTTGATCCAAATTTTCTCCTTTTTGAATGATGAAATGAATATATATAAGCATGTTTTAACTAATTAAAAATATTAGATTTTTAAAAGGAGGGATAACCTTAAACAATAATAGCTGCTGCTGATGCTATTATGAGCTAAGCAGATGATCCTAAAATAGGATGAAAAGAAGCGACAGATGATCGATACTGTCACATGGAAGCTCGCTGAACCATCCATCTGTGCCTTCTGACTTGTTCTTATCAGAAACTTTTATTGGAAGAAGAACACAAGATTTCTTATGGTTCTAAGTTTTCATGGATTTGGATGGTTTTTTAGATCCATTTTAGTTGAAATATATTTTTGTTAGAATTTTATAACATAAAAATATGTGTAGCATAAATTAAATGTTGATTAGATAATTTTTTTTATTTTATATATTGAATATGTTTTTATAATATTTATAGTACTAAAAAGACCAAAATTTATACATTAAAAATTTCGTATAGGGACTAAGGTTTTTTTTGGGACGGTTTTATTATTGATTCTTAAAGTATTTTTTTTTATTAAAAATTTATATTTTTAGTACTAGAAAGTTGTTTTAAGAAACAATAAGAAATTCTTCCCAAACAAAACTAAAATAAAAATTGAATTTTAAAACTTGCAAGATTTACTTCCTAGATGGTAGAGAGCAATAAAAGAATTTTTTTTTAAATATTTTTTAAGTCATTTTTTAGTAATTTTTTAACTATATATTTTTATTCTAAAAATTATTATAGAAAATAGTTCGAGGTTTCAAGTACTCTGCCATTTAGTAGAAATCATAATCATAATAGAAAAACTATACGACAAAGATCTTTATAATTCTTGGATTTATACTAATGAAGAAAAAAGTGCAATTTGAACAATGAATTGAAAAGACGAATCCAAATTCTAGAAGAAAAAAAATGAGGGGGTCCTCTATTTGGCCACTATACATTGCTAACATCAAGAAATAGAAGAATCGCGGATTTCGAGTAACTGGCCAAGCTGCTAAAGTAGCTAAAGTAGTGATAAATCCTGTCAGTAAAATGGGTCCTATGGAAAGTCCATCGGTTCCAGTAATAGGTTTCAATTTTAATTTTGTATTAAAAAACTATTTTAAGAAGTAGAAATAAAGCCGTCCCAAATGAAGCCTTAAACTACTTCAAAACTTTTATTTTCCTTATATTTGAAAATCATCAAAATCATGTGATAAATCCTACATTGCAACAACTTGTAATTATCGCTTACCATCGTCCACTGGCACAACTCGCCGCTGCCATCACTCACCCTCGCTTGCTCGCCATCGCCACCATCATCATTCTCATCCTTGCTAGCTCATGTCGCTCATATTCGCTCTCATCCATATTTCAATGCTTTTGAAGGCATTTGATTTGCATTCAACCAAATAACTCTTATTTCATTAAATGTTCATTTGCAACATGCATTACATTTGATTCATATGCGACTTTACTCCCTACTTCTAATTAATAAAATAATTGAGATAATTTTATCTTTAAATGAGAATATATTAATGAAACATTTTCCTTAAAGAATGACAAAACTCATTTTTCTTTCACATCTTTTATCCTCCATTCTATTTCATAAATATATCCTTCATGAAATGCTTCATAATTATAGCTAAAGATTTAAACTTTGCCTCAAAATATTCCACTAATGATAGCTCAAATTCCACCAATATGACATTCACCATATTTTTAATGGTTCATGAACCTGTAATATGCACGACATTAAAGCTACGTTTATGACAACTTTCTTACCGATTTCTAAAACAAATTTTTAGTACAAAAATATTTGATTCAAAAAACTTTTATACTAAAAAGCTGCTTTAATAAAGCAATTAGAAATCCGTCCCAAATGAAGCTTAATTGTTCATTTTTCATTACTATAATAATCATGAAGATAACTTCTTGCACCCTATTTTCCTTTTGAAGATTCTCCCTTCAACTACCAACAAAAATAAAAGTTCAGTTTGAAATGATCGTAGCTTTTTATAAAAAACAATTATAAAGTTACTGTTGAGAAAGTAATTTCCCAGCATAAAATTCTCTTCAAAGGAACACAAAATAATAGCCAAATAAAAATTCTCTTATAAGAAAAACTATTGAGTTGTATGGATAATTCAGATAAGCTCAGCAAATAAATATGAGCAGACGACCATCACATGGTGTGTTTGAAGACAATGAATGATACACTGCAACCCATTCAGACAGTGGAAGTAATAAAAGCCTCATTGATAGAATGATACAGTGTATTTACTCTCAAGGCATGAATATAGCAACAAAGAGAGAGCATTCATTAGAAGAATGGATAGGCTCCAATGCCCTCCTCCACTTCTGTGGATCTTCAACTCATCTGATCTGATCAGATGATTGCTTACATGTGAAAAATCGCCTTGCATTTAAATACAAAAAAAGCTCTTTATTGATGTAATCTGAATCAACAAGGAGAGATCAGACAACTTTCTCCAGAACAGCTACTTGAAAAATTACTTGGTCAAATAAAGGCCTCTCTCAAGTGAGTCGGTAGCTTTAGTTCGGGTTCGAATTCACCGAGAGGAGAGAAATGGAGGTCGATCATGTCGTCGGAAACATGTTGTAAAGTCGGCGGATTCCACTGCATGAGGGGCAAACATAACAAGCATTAGAAAGAAAGGATTGATCTAAGGATAATGAATGATTGTGTTAGACCGGTCCAACCGGTCCCTTGCAAAGGGCCGGCTCAAGTGTATAAGAGACGGGAGGCAAGAGAGAGGAAGAGGGAGATGGGGCCCACTAATTGAAATTCACATGTTTTGGAACCAAATGAGGGGGAGGCAAGGGCATACCTATAATTTGGGTTTAATTGATTAATTGCATGCTTTAAGTAGGAAGGGTTAGGGTTAGGGTTATGCTTAATTTTATGGCTGATTTTGGAGTTCTTGTCTCGGTGTCTTGGGCCCTAGATTCGTCAAGGGATTGAGAAAGAACGATCGTCCTCTCGAATTGCGGATCAATTGTATCTTGTTTTATTTCAGATCAATTGTATCTTGTTTTATTTCATCATTAGTTTGATTTCTTCAATAAAAATTACTGTTCGCTGATTTTCCCATCGAAATTGTGGAGCGTTTTGTTATTTTTTTATTTATCATGTTAGGAATTACTTGAAATCTTCAAGTACTTCCTAACAGATTGAAAATAGAAAAAGATCAACTCATAAAAACACAAGAATTTTATATGCTTCAACGCAACTGATGACCACACCTTGTTGCTGTCAATGAAGATTTCACTATGATTTTGTTTATGAAGAATTACAACTCTAAGTCATTAGACCAATATATAGAGGTCAACCTGCAACTGTATATGTATGGCATATTTTTTTTTGTAATGTAAAAAATTAAGCTCCATAATTTAAAAAGAATCACGCATTGTTACCTTTGGAGCCAAGTCCTTCTCCACCAACTTAGCTCGAACACCCTATGGAAGAAGACGACTATAAAATTATGGCACACTAAAGAATGAGCGGCAGATATTTTAATAGCAAAATATGAGCTGTTTACCTCGCAAAAGTCATTAGAAACAACCTTTGACATATGATGTAGAGACATTCGATATTCTCGAATGAGGCATTCATCGAGAGTCTGAAATCGACCTTCCCGTACCTTACAAAGCAATCAATGGTGATATCAGCAGCCCAAGGAACACTCAACTTACCCAACCCAGATAAAATTTGTAGTGGATGAGTATTACAATGATAAGGAAAACTTTTAGGGACATACAGATCTTAAGGAGATTTTTAGACTCAATGGAGATGCTTCTTTAATTTTCTTGAGAGCTGAAGTGCACCAGTCCTGATTGGTTCTGGCTGCCTCACTTTCCTGAGATTTTAAGAGGAAAAAACATTAAATCGTTATGATAAGACAAGTCAATGGAAGAGTCATTAGTCAAAAGGTACTGCAAATGACATGAGTTTTGAATTATAACAGAAGAATCTCTCCCTACCAAACAAACAAAGATTTAGGCTTCGTTTGGGATGACTTTTTTAATGCTTCTTAAATCAATTTTGTAGAACAAAATTAAAATTTTTGTACTAAAAAGCTGCTTTATGAAGTAGCAAGAAAGCCGTCCCAAACAAAACCTTAGTCTCATTGACACAATCAAATCCTGATGCTCGTAAGCTAGAGAATTAGGCAGAAAGCAAATGGATACTTGAATCAACCAAAAGCTTTACAGCTATAACAGCTTGGAAGAGGTTGCACATTTTTTGAAATGAACCAAAATAATGGTGAGAGCATTATAGATTGCTCAGAGGCAACTAAATGTTTATGTAATCAAATCTAAGTGCGACAGATGCAAAATGCAGATTTGACTAGCTTATTGATTTAAAGTCATGAAGAACGTCAACTCATTCATTCTGAAAGGAACTCCAAGAAAAGTTTTGAAGCCTGAAGATTCTATAAAAGTGATAGATAAGTTGATTAAAGAAAGAGCTCACCAAAGCATCAACAATTTCTTCAATAGTTTCACGCCCAAAGCAATCATCTATTGCTTCCATCCTGATATGAAGGAAAGAAGTTGGTTTGTGTTAAATAAAAACAAAAAAAAAAATTAAGTATTTATTTTCATTTTTAATATATAGCACAAAAACAATTTGAAAATTAAAAATTAAAAATTGATGATTCAACATCAAGTTATAGTTGTCAAAGATACATGCAAATTTTAGGAATTAAACAATAACTCAATAGCTTATGCAGCAAAGTTCAATAAAAATTTTTGGAATTAACTAAAATACTCATCTAACTACCAAAAGTTACTTGCAAAATTTCCAACTTATCAATCTCCAATCCACTGTCAATTGCCTATCAGCAAAAGAACTAGAAGTGCCTTCCCCTCTCTTCCTCTGTTACTCTTGGGGGCAATCATGCTTACTGATCTTGCATATATAGGGCATGTTACAAACCAGCAATTAAAATCCAACGATGCAATAGCTGCATCAAGCAATGATTTGGAAATTCTAGAATAATTTTCAACAAAACGGAGGCCCAACAGGTTCTAAATATGAAATTCAAGTACTTAAGCGACCTAATGACGAAAAATTCAAAACTTTCTTATCCATTGTTCAAGTGTTTGATATTCAAGCATTAGGCTTTCTTTATTTGTAATAGATTTTATATGTTAAGAATCATATAACACAAACTATGTTAAGAACAGAACTCACCAAACCAAGCTGTGTGAGCAATCTTCAATTGAGAGTAAAATAACCCCCAATAAAACGACTAAAAGGAATCAAGGGCACTAGAAGGCGATTTGCGATTGGAAATACATCCTAGTTTAAAAATGATGTCATACATCACTAAATATACAGGAACAGGCGCTCCAAGGAGAAACCTTTGACGCTTCAAGCTTCCCTTCCTTTCTCTTATAGCATGACAATGAATTGACCAATTTTTTGGCTTACAATCATCCATTTTGGACGTTAATAATCTATAATCTAATAATTTTGAAGCTTGAAAAACGAACTCTAGAACAATGTATGGCTATAATAATTTTAAGAGATCAAAACTCACATTCCATAAGCCTTTCAATAGGTCCATTAACGGAAAATGGCAAAAAAGGATGTTATTACCTGTGAACAATGCTCTTCTTATCTGGATAGACTATGTCACCATACTGTGCTAGAGAGGAATCAATCACTGAAGGGTCATCTGTCACCAACTTAGCGAGCCGTTCATCAATCCAACTAAGCTTCTGTTGACAGTCCACTATGTTAGGAAAAAAAGGAAGGAGAGTATGAACAGGGATGCAGCAAAGATCTGGGGCTCTGTTTCAATTATAAAATTAATGACCCTAGAAATAGAGAACTAACAGCACTCATGGCAAAGTGGGTAGCAAGGCCAGCAGCAAGTGCGTCTACTCCATTAAGCTTTTCACCTGTTAAAGCCAAGTATTCACCTGCACCGAAGATAATAAAATGCTCAGTTTCTAGAAAAGCTTAGAAAAGAGGCGAGGAATTAACATGCCAAATAAAGTAATTAGGGAGCAAATATTGCAATGCCCCAAATATGATGGCAACACGTTTTTTTAGAAATAAGCTTAGACAGAATTCCGGATTACTTTGGTGTTAACTCTTAAATATTGTGTCCAAGCATGCCAATAATTTTTAGAATTATGGATGTGCAAACCCTTCACAAAATCATAAGAAGGGGAGAAATTGGCCATAATCCAGCCATGATAGTAAAAAACACAACATATAATTTTAAATAATGATACATCATTTTGGTTTATTATTATTAAAAGTGCGCTCTTGGAGCAAAGTGAAGTGATGTGCTCACCCTTGACATCAATTATCTGTGAAGCACAAGCTCACAACAAAAGGAGCTTATCACGCTGTAGTATTGCACACCTGACTCTGGCTCAAAATGAAAACATGATTCATAATGATTTGGTTCAATATATGATATTACAATGACGCAAAAAAGCTCAATTCTCACTAGTTCTCTTAATCATTGAGTTGTTGCTCATTGGTTCAGCCTTCTCTCCGAGTAAGCAATTTAAATCTTTGTGGTTGTTCTCTTCACACTATCTCGATCGTCAGTTTTCTTATACATTTCTCACTAGTTCTTGCTACTAGCGCTAGTAGTTTCTCGCTCAAAAGTTTTCTTCCAAGAATGCTTCTCAATACCTTATTTTCACATACACAATCTCTATTCACACAGCCTCTACTTCTTGGTCTTTAGTTGATCACTCAATCTCACCAATATATTTATTTTTTAATTATTCTTTCATCATTTCATTATTTATATCTTTGATTTTCTTTTTGCTTTCGGATAGCTCAAATTTATTGTAATTGAATGTATCATTATATTTTATAAAAATTATAACCTAATGTGATTTAAGTTTGACTAATTAAAATACTATTATATGCACATATTATATATATATAAGTTATGAACAATCTAGTTGTAAAGCGCGGTTTCACTTTGTGCTATGCAAATTGAAGCTAATGTAAAAGAAATCCCTGTGCATCGCAATGTGCTTAGCGCTTAGACACCATTGTTTTAATCATCATTAACCTCATCCCAACTATTTAAAGTCTTCTTTATAAATCCTCACTCCAATGGTCAAAGAAATACACTTCATAACCACATCAAGTATTTCAAGTGGTACCCATGCTTTGATCAGTGTCATTTTGCTTAGTAAATGACTTTTTAGAGCAATGGCCACACAAACTGTGAATAGCATCACTTCAGATGCCTGTATGACACAGCCTTCCTTAAAAAAAATGAAACTTAAAAATCAGGCCTGAATCAACAGCCATATGAAGTCTAGCTAAGATATATATTGAAGCAAAACCAGCATATCCTGCTATAGAAAATTAAATGTCATTGTGAACTACAATATGTTTTAGCCCTCATTCTCGAGAGTTTACCCAGATGTCCTGGCAAGTGCGAGAGGTAAAAGGAAGCACAGGCATCAGGATGAAAACCAATATGTACCTCCGGTGTAGCAAATATCTGAAATTGGCACAAATATAAAATATATATTAATAAAGTAGAATTATTCTTGAAGTTTGAGATTATTATTACCAGACCATAGAAATGAAAAGAACAAAAAAAAGAGAGAAATTGAAAAAGGAATTTATGTTGAATGATGAATACTAAACTTAAACTTAAATCAAACCAATTAAATGCAAAAATTTCATCAGTGAACACTAAACATATTTTTCTTGAGAAAATTTAACAAAATTTCTAAAAAAATTATGAGTTTTCCGGAAGCAACCACTCTGGTATCCAAGGCGCATTTAATTGAGCTTGAATGCTAGAATACTCTTTCCATGAAAGATACGTTAAGAAATATGATAATCTTGACACACATAAAAGGAAGAAAATATTAAAAAGTGTTCTGATCAACAGTACATTCAGATCCAACTATGATCAGCTTTCCATCAAAATAATTAATAAGTTAAAACTATTGAGATAACTCGTAGTACTAAGACAATGTTCTACATATATTTAGTTGTCTTATCATTTAAGCACTATTCATCCAATTAAAAATAATATTGATGTGCTTAATATTTCTCAATAACTCTACACTGCGTACTTGTGCAGTAGAAATGTTACACACAAAATTATCATGGAAAAAAGAATAGTCGGGCATATACATACCACTGAATTCTATGCTAATTACATGGTTAAAACCTAAATACGCTTATTTACTCCTATACTATCTAATTCTTCTAAATACCAAAAATATACCATCCTGTTAACCCATAAGGTTTGTATTATTTGTGGCATTTTGGGGTAAGATGGTAGGAGTATAGAAGAAGATTTTGGCATTAAATGTACAAATAGCATAGAATTTAGTGATACACATATAAATGCCCCAAGAATAAAAGAATCATAGTAATAATGATTATAAATCCTATTCATTTTCAAATAAGATATTTCAAACACTTTTAGGGCCTATTCGGTTGGAGTCTTTCTCTAGTATAAGATCGTTAAGAGATGGAGTTATTCCATTAGGTTCATCAAAAAGAAAAGCTAGCATAAGTTAAAAATTTATATGCTAGTAGTTTGAAGTTTAAGCTTTGCTAGGTTAATCACATGAGCCTAGAATGTGAACTCAAATAAACCAGGAAGTGCCAATGTCAACAGGTTACGCCATTTGATATTGTGATTAACATGCAAGTGATAGTCATATGAAGATCCATGTTTTCTATGATATAAATAACATTCTAAATTAATGAATGTTTCTAACATTGGAACACTCATATTCTTATTAAAGAAAATGATTCTTGTTACCAAAATTATGATAATAAGCATGGTAAGGTTAATTAAAAAATCAAAAGGTTTAGAGATGATAGAGCATACTGTTTTATCTGTTGCAATACGAAATGTTCCAGGAATAGACACACCTCCACCACCTCCCATGGTTATACCATCCAATATAGCCACCTGCATTGAGTAAAATGAACATGGACCAACACTTTAGACTAGCAAGTATATAACAAGCATTAAAACAGATGGGTAAATCACAAATATCTATATCTGCTAAATGTTACAATAGAATTGAATATCTTAGTTAAAACAATCGAGTACAATTATCCGAAGTATGGCACTTTGTAACTTACTAGTTGCTGCATTATCTATGAAGTATTACACTTAAAAAAAAAAAATTGTGCTCGTACTGGAGATGGGTGTGCCTTTGACACGCTTTGGCATTGACATGTAACCACAAGCTGAAAATCATGTTTGATGTGTTTTTTATCTAAAATTAGAGTCGGGCATAGCGATAACATGCCTAATCAAGCTTAAAGAGGAATGACATCTTAAAAGTTGGTTATGAAAGAGTTTTAAGTATGAATTGTTAAACCAGGAAACATTTTCTAAAGAGCTTGCATAGAAAAACTATCTAATTTAATTCAGAACAATAAAATGGTATGCCAAAAGATCCATGAATGAAACTTCATTGATGGGCTTTCTTATAAAAATATTTATATATCTTGGCATAAGTACTTCAGTAGGCTTCATAGTACAACAACAACAACATCAACATCAAGCCTTTATCCCACATAGGTTGGCTACATGAATCCTTTTTATCCATTGTGTCATGTTAAGAGTTAAATTCTCATTTAAATCTAATAAAAAAATGTCATTTCTAATATTTTCTAACTAAGTCTTTTTAGTTCTACCTCTATCTTTCTTGTAAGTCAAATCTAATACAACTACTTTCTAACCGGGTCATCGGAAGGCTGCCGTTTTAGGTGACTATCTAAGGCGACTCTCTCTAATCTTATTTTCCATTGGAGCTACTCCAACCTTTTCAAGTATATGCTCATTTTGTATCATGTCTCTAAGAGTAAAGCCACTCATCCACCTGAGCATCCTCATCTCTGCAACACTTAACTTAATATATACTTCTTATTTAGTGGCCAACATTCTGCACCATAAAGCATTGCAGATCTAACCACTATTTTATAGAATTTTCCCTTAAGTTGAGGGGTTTTTTTCTATCACACAATAAGCTTGATGCATTCCTCAACTTCAATCATCCAACTTGAATTCTACTAATAATATCCCCATTTATTTCACCATCACTCTGAACAATAGACCCAAGATATCGAAAAAGTGTACTCTTATTAATGTTTTGATCACCCAAAGTCACAATCCCCCAACTGATCTAATTATTACTAAAATTATACTCCATACATTCTGTTTTGAATCTACTCAAACAAAAGTCTTTAAACTCTAATGTTGACCTCCATAATTTAAGTTTACATTCAACTCCCTCTCTAGTCTTATCAACAAGAAGAATATCATCAACAAAAAGCATACACCAGCGTACATCCACTTGCAAATGTGTAGTGAGAACATCAATGACTAAAGCAAAAAAGATATGGGCTTAAGGCTGATCCTTAATGTAATCCAACTGAAACAGAAAAATACTTGGTCAAATCACCTTGTGTTTGAACACAAGTAACAGCTCCTGCATACATATCCTTAATGACTTGAATATAAGCATTATTAACCCTTTCTTTTCTAAAGCTCTCCATAGCACTTCTCTTGGAACTTTGTCATATGCTTTCTCTAAAATAATAAATATCATAGATAGATCCTCCTTATTCTCTCTATACTTCTCCATCAAACCTTTCAATAAATGAATAGCTTCCATAGTAGACCTACCCGGCATGAATCCAAATTGACTTTGAGAATATATTCTACCTATGCACTTTCATCCTATAATGGAGTTAGGAGAGCCCCCCGGATCACTCCCATCCTGTGATATATTCTACGTATGCACTTTCCAATTATAATATGAAAATTTACTTCCTCCCTCATTATACTAGCCCCTTCTTTGCCCTCCATCTTTTATAACACACCTATTTGCACAATTCAACTACCAAATGCGTATTCCCTCCCTCCCTCTCTCTTCTATCCTTGTGTTTGGATTTGAGTGTTTCTATCTCTCCCTCTATTTATTTATCCATCCCGACCAAGTGCTAGGATTTCAGTGACACTTTATTTTGAGCACCTCAACAGAGAGTACAAATGAGAATGGCAAGAATGATGTAGACTTTATGAGTCAGTTGATTAGATTCTATCACCATAAACACCAGCTATTGTAATAATGAGGGCAATTATCATATATGACAACACTATCAAAGACTTGTTCGTGCTAGCTTTCTACTATATCCTTTAACAATCCACTTGCTGACCCAATACATGCAAAAAATGACTGCTATCACTTTATGCAATATTTGAGCATCTACATGATTAGATGCACACATCAAAGCCTAAGCAGCTTTACCAAGACTTGCAAACAAAGTGAAAGTAAGCAAAACCAAATTATCGTACAAAATAGTTGTGACATTAGCTACACCTATCAACTATGTGCTTTAGCACCACATGTTGCTCCAAATTTAATGGCTATGTTAATATTGGGCAATTACATTGACAACAATAATATCCCCACCATGCCATCTCTTGTACGAAAATCAAAATGATTGATTGGAAGACACATTAGAGCCTTGATTACTTAGCAATCTATGGTGACCATGAAATTTGGTAGCATGCCAATAAAAAAATGCACTGATCCTAAGAAAATCGGCACCTCATAAAATAAAGGGCTTAAAGTTATGTTTTTTTTGTATCAAAAGCACTTGTAAAATATAGTGTCATTAGCCTAAGCATCATTTGAAGTATAATACTAGATCATAAACCCCACCAATAAAAATACAATAAATTAAAATTTTTTCTAATACTAATATACTATAATTCTCAATGCATGAATTGCATCACCATATAATAGTAGTAAGTTCAGTGTCCTAACATTGTGTTAAAGATTATGTCAAGAATTAAACTATTTGTGAAAACAAATTCAAGTTAGTAATTATAATAATTTTACAACTAGAAATGTCAACCTTCAATGCATGAATTGCTAAGATAAAAACTCACATGTGGTTTCAGATAGGTGCCTAATATGTAAATAAATGTATACAAGTGCCTGAAAAAATCCTTGCAGTCTTCCACCTTTCCTGCATATTTTAAGGTTCAAGGAGAACATAAGTAATAACAAAAACATTGGTTATCAAACAGCTAACATCAAAAGAATTTAGTGGTCATTATACTCATTAAAACTTGTATAAAAGAATAATGCAACTATTGATTATTGCAGAGCAGTCAATCTTCACTCTACTTGTCTCACACAAATGAAAAAAAATGATAATGATTACAATTGATATTTAAAAGGTATAGTAATGCCAGCCAAACAGTAAAACAAAAGCTACAAGGAACATTAGAAACAGGTATATCGGTAATAGAAGAAAATGGTTGATGTAAAGCAGAAAAAAAAAACAGAAATTATGTCACTCAAGTGCAAACAACCTGACCCTATGTCATTGGCCTCTTTTTTTCTTACCCCCATACTCATTTTCTTTCACACTCAAATGTGAACTTTACATGCCTGATTGGTTTCTCAAATATCAAAAACTTGCTTTTTTAACATGTTATTGCTAATATTTTTTGCTTTCTAGAAGTTACAACCACTAGTTTATTCAACATATATCATTGGCTCTTTGTGACAAAGATCACCAGTGCAACATTTTCATGTTCTAACAATAGTATTTCACACATAAAAAAATCTGTAGCTTTTTGTGCAACCGATAATACAAGAAATACTTTCCTCTTTAACCTCTAGGTTTAAGCATTTCCTCATTAATTGCTGAGTTAATTCAACTTGCAGTTCTATGCGAAATATGGCAATAGGGTAAGATTCTAGATGAACTGAAACAGATTATCAAATCATCTTTTCATATTTCTAGTGACTAAAGAATGGGTATGAAATTGAAAACTTCACAAAGTATGAAGATTAATAAAAAACCCCTTGAAATACACATTAAACTACTAACTCCTTACGTGGCATAAGATGGAACTTCAACATATTTCTTAAGCAAAAATACATAGCAACCAGAAAAAAGAAAAATTAAAAGCGGAATGGTACAGACCTTCTTTAAGCAGATGGTAAAGAGTTACAATATCACCACCAGCACAGAATGCCCTTCCACTTCCCTTTGAAGCCAAAAAATATCATTTAATTTTTATTGTTCAGGTTAAAAGAATTTCATTTTATTACTTTGGCGAAAGAAATCATTAATAATTTATATTATAAATGAGGGAAAATTATAAGCATAACACTCAAAGCCTTGCAGTTTACATAAATGTAGGAGAAAAAAAGGAAACAACAGATGGCTTCCAACTAACAACATTCTACCTTCATCATGACAAATCCAATATCAGAATTGTCTTCCCATGACTCGTACAGCTTCTTCAAACGAAGCCCCTTAAAAAAAACAAGATGAAACTAGATAACAATCGGGCTTGCTCTCAGCTAGTCAAAACCTCAAACAGCTTATGTGCATAACACACACACACACCCACACACACACACACAACAGGAAACGCCACGTATAAAACCAAATGAAATACCATGTTGGTAGTGAGCGCATTAAGAGCTGACGGCCTGTTAAGGATCACCGCACGGGCGCTAGCTTTCCCTTCAATAAGCACCTTAAATCAAATACATCAATCAATAAGAACAAC